AAGATAATATTTTGCAATTTCGTGTGAATATGATGATGAGTAATGTAAGCTATTAGTCAGTTACGTTCCATTAATTCAAACATGGGAGCATTTCAAGTAAAATAATCAGTTGAAAGGTGTGTCTGTGAGAAGCCGAGGAGTGCAAGACCTCATGTGGACACTTTTACCAACAGTGTTTATTAGCAGACGTAAGAATTGAGAAGGAGTGTTAAATAAGATTACTTCTCTTCGGCTTTTTAATGAGTTATTGCCCAAAAGCTATTTATCTTAATCCTTAGTATCTCAAAAAGGTTACTTGACTATTTTGTGTGTAGTTGAAAACACCACGTTGCTTGAAAATTAGTCATCTAGGATGTCAGGAGGCACTGAGTAAGAAGAAAAGAGGAGGATGGGGGAAAAACAGCACAGAGAAGAGCCTATGTCAATCTGTCTCCCCTTGAAAAGGCTGTACAGCAAATTTTAAAAGCAGCTAAGTGTTCTGTGCGGCCCTCTCATTAGTTACTCCACTATTAGACTTTATTCAGTCCTGGTGACAGGATACTGTTGGTCTCTGGAGACCAGCTGGAAAGTCACAAATTTTCAAGGAACATACTTCAGACAGGAGGATTTCAGAGTAAAAAGTATTGGGGGAATTGACTTAATTGCACATTAAAGTAGGTAAATAAAAACAATGCCATACAGATAGGAAGTTATAAAATCATGTAAAGGAAAAAAGATAGATGCATAAAAGTACATAAAGGTAGGAATATAAACATTGACCAACAAAGATTCAAGACAGTTTGGGAACTGCATGAATAGTTCAAGGACTTAAGAATGTAACTCCTGTTATTACCTTAACAAAACTAAGATGTAAAATAACCCAACATGATCATAGCACCTTATTTCAGTCGAAGAAGATTCATTATTGCTGTTGAGTTTTTTTTAAAATTCACCCGTGGAAAATCCTGACTCCTCTTGCTGTTCCTTTCCACTATTTTCTGATCCAGATCTAAACCAAATTTTTTTGTAAAATATTTGTAATAGAAATTTGTATATTTTAAATTACTAATCCTATTCTGATCCTACTCTTTCTCTAATAGTAATCTTGCCTTGCTTCCTATGTTTCTTTACACTAAATACTATTCATAGTCATGCTAAAATAGTTGAGATTAGATGACAGATCTATAATATCACCCTGTTTGTGTAGCCAGGCCATTTCAATGCTCTCTGTATCTTAACAGTTTGTAAATATCTGATAAACTGGCAGAGCATAAGATAGAGGCACGCACGAAAAAGTACATTGTCATTCTTTTCAGTACAGCACATCCTCAAGTGTGGTAGAAAAGAATTTAGTTAATCAGATAAAGGTAAAAGGTAATCATATAAAACTTCTCAAATAGTAGGATGTCTTCCAAAGGTAATAAAGACACTACGGTCTGAGTTACCTCTTTAGCAGACTCCTATCTATATCTTTGTAATCATGAATTTTAACCTAGACTGAAAAAAAATCACCTGTAATTAACATGGGTATTGAAATACATTACAGACAAAGAGTTGACGGAATTCTCATCATTTAAATAACTCACAAGTAATTATCAGAAACCATGTGAATTACAGAAATACCATAAAGCACAACTGTTGCATACAATTAATATAAGTCTTTAATACATACTATTCAGGAAATCTATTAAAATGTGTCCTAATCAACATAGGTAGTTGATGACAGAAAGCCACTTAGTCATGGACAGCACGTGTGGGGAGCAATGACAGTGCGGCTACATACATTGAAATAATACTGGGGAAAATTTTTTTTTACATAAAAATTGTTCCTGTTTTGTTTGATGTGTGCATAGGGGAAACAGAGAGAGAAATACATGACCAAAAATAAAAGTTAAAGAAAGAGCAGCTAAGTTTAGAATGCCATAAGCCTATCACAGTATGTACCATGAGTGACCATGTTCTTCATGTTTGAAAAATTAGCAAATTAAAACTATCCTGTTTTGATCTTCCAAATCTGAAATTCAGTAGTTGTCTGAGAGGATAAACTGGTGAACATGCTTAGTTTATGTAAGTGGAAAAATAAATTATGTGCAATGACAAGGAGGGTAGAGAAGCCATGAGCACATTAGAGAAGAGCTGGGCACACTCTCCAAAGCTGCATTCAAATAGGCTGTTGGTACCCTTTTGGAAAGAGTCTTTACCTTTTGCGTCAGCTCTCAATACTTACTGAGAGGAACTCATTATTGAAAAACATGGTAAAAATGTCTATGTGCATTTTAGAACAGTGGAAATGCAAGTTAATGATCTTATAAACATAATACAGGAAACATGGGTACAGCATGGTGGCTGAGAGAAGCGAGGAGAGCTGAAAGGAAAAAAAAGATGCACTAGTTTTGCATCACATCTTTATTCTGCCAAGTGATTAAGAATTTATTGTGGGGTTCCTTGTTTATCACATTGCAGTGTTTTCCGTATCAGTTTAGTCTTTCCAGTATCCAAGGGAAACTATTTCTTTCACAGATACTGTCTCTGAGCCTGGGATGCAGGAATCAAAGGGGGTCTTCCCTTCTCACACTGTTAACTAAAAATTCAGTAAGATGGATTAGACCCAGAG